TATATATATATATATATATATATATATATGGAAGTAATCAAAGGTGAAACTGCTTCCTAACAAAATTTAGAGGCTGTGTGAGGAAAAAAATATCTGACAACATGAAAACAAACTTTGTTTTGTTCTCTCTAAGAAAAGTCTACTTTCATTTATTCATGAATATTAAGTATGGTACAAAGCAGCTCCTTTTAAACCTACCAGGCTCTAGTACATCAGAATCAATATCCCCGTGCGTCATCTGTCTTCCTTGTTGCTCTTGCATTTCACAAACCATTCATTTTCTTCTCCTTTAATTGCACTTCAAATGCTTCAAATGCTTTCTTTCTCGTCTGCCACCTTCTTCAATCCAAACTTTTGATCACTTCAGAATCGCTTCATAACCTCTCACGGTGTGTGTGTGTGGGGGGATGAAAGCTATGTTTGTGGAAGGTAAGTAGTCAATGTGTGTGTCTAAATGATTTAGAAAGGGGGTATTAGATCTGTAGAGGCAAAACTAAAGCTGTCTGAGAGTGTTGTGTAACCACTTTACTGCTTAACATTCAAGATTCATCTCATCTCCTGGTGGCTAATGTTCCAAATTATATTCTGCTTGGTGTTTAAATAGAAGCTATGCAGACTTTAATCTCCGTTTTTCGTGTCTTAGTTGGTGTGTTGATCGCTCTGTGGTGTCTTCTAAATCAACAGCTTGTGTGATCCCAGAGTCTCAGTAATTGATGTTTTTTGTTATCCTTGATTGCAAATGGGGTTAAAGTGGGCAAGTCCTTAATGGTGTCCCAGCACCTTAAATCCAATAGGCATGTCCTTCCAGCTGACTGCATGGAGATACTTGCTCAAGAAGAAAACAATGACATCCCTCCTACACCTTCGACACATCCTTTTTTCTTCCCATCCTTGTGATGTGTTCAGGGTGCAGATGTAAAGTTGTGGCCAAGGTACTTTAGCGTCTAGTAAGTCATGTAGAAGAAGAGTGTGCATAAATGGACGGGCTGGGGGGGGGCATGCTAGTGTGGACAAGAGAGGAAGATGAAAGATTATTTTCAAAGGTAAGGACTGCCCAGCAAGTGAAATTTTATAAGCTAAAAATTAGAATTTTACTTGTCATTTTCTAAAATCATAATTTTGAGAAAGGATAATCGTCATATTTGCTAAATCCACAAAGAGAGCGAATATCAGAGTAGCAGTTGATCAGTGTGTACACACAAAAAAATCAGCTGGAGCTCACAGAGCAAATTGATATGCGACTTCTTTCTAAGTAAGTCTTTCTACCATGCTGCTCGGCTGCTGCACCCAATCTTAGGGATTCCCCTTTTGCCAAATCCCCACTTTAACCCCTGGTTGCAAATCAATTTCAGTGGATTGAGGTTGAGTGCAATGTTGGTAATCGTTCCTTTCTTCCCATCCAGGATGATGTTTTTGGTCCCCAAGGGATGCAAAACTACACTTTGGACCCTGCCAGAAAAGTAAGTCTACTACCACCAGACTGTGGTTAGCAAATACAAGTTTGTTTAGAGTAAACAAGATGTTATGCATCTTCTATTCATCCAAACTGATAGTTTTGCTACATGGGAATTAGGGATAGAAATTCCAAGCAATAAAACCTGCTGATTGTGTGTGATTATTTCTTAGGTGCCTTTGATGAATGGTCAGATGGGTCCTTCGGCTCGTCCTCCGATGAGCCAGTCGTCCATGGCACGTCACCCTTCCAGAGAGCAGCTCATTGATTACCTGATGCTCAAAGTCTCCCAGCAGCCCCAGGGGCCTTCACGAATTCCACTTGAACCCATCCAACAAGAGGTGAAAGATGGATTATTACTCAAAGAAATATGCAATTCAGTATTTAAGGGAATTACGTATTTTCTTAGAGAAGCCTCTTTCCATTAGCTGAGGTGTTGTCATTATGCCTCATCGTGACTGACCCAGACATTTAAGAATATCAGACCGATTTGATGACTGGCTAAATTCCATATTGAGCTTGTGCCAGCCCCTTTTTTTGAAACTTACACTGCTGTTCCAAGTTAAGCTTGTTCCTACTCCCACAAGTCTGAACTTGGCGTTCTCAACCAGAGACGGTCCAGTAAAAATCCAACTGTTGAGCCTCAGGTTATAGTTTCAGTTTTATCTAGTTTCTCCTTCATCCTTTATGGTAAACTAAGCTAACCGCTAGCTGCCTGCTGAATTGCATTAAATAGGCCAGATGTTATTACACTCAAAGAGTCTATGTTAACCTTTTTAGCGTATTGCAGTTGATGTGGTCTGAAAGTGACCCAGTGACCTAGACTTCTGCACCTCCTCTGAGCTGTGATGGTAGACTCTGACTGTACTCGTCTGGTGGTTTCATTAGTTTTTCCCCTGCCACTTTAAATTAGTTCGGTGTTCGCTGACATTGAGAACCTGATATTCTTGTTCACTCCAACTGAATTTTAGTAGCTTTCTTTCATTTACATTTATCGTAGCTGGCACTTTAAGTCGAGAAAACTTTCTCCTTTAATTTTACGACTAATGTCAATATATTGTATCGTAACAGTGATCATGCGTAATGAAAGTGTGTGGGTGTGTTTCAGATCCGTGTGAAAGTGGAGAAGAATCCTGAGCTGGGTTTCAGTATATCAGGAGGAATCGGAGGCCGGGGAAACCCCTTTCGTCCTGATGACAATGTAAATTAATACCTTGATTTTTATTTTAATTTTTTTTGTCCCCCTCTTCCAAAGAAGTCAGTTCTTTTCTGAGATTTTATATCTTATTGTTATAATTTCAGGGTATATTTGTAACAAGGGTTCAACCTGAAGGACCAGCATCAAAAATTCTTCAGCCTGGGGATAAAATCATCCAGGTACTCTGCTGTCTGTAGGAATCAGTGTTTTGAGATTAATGTCTTTGGAATATTAACCAATAATCTAATCTACCGTTTTCTTCTCCCTCCTCAGGCAAACGGATATAGCTTTGTAAATATCGATCACGGGAACGCAGTGTCCCTTCTGAAGACTTTCCCAAACACTGTGGACTTGATTATCGTAAGAGGAATCCAAGCATAGACTGAAACTGACCTCAAATAGAGTGTGACATATGGGAGAAGAACTGAAAAGCATACGTTGACTTGTCATATTTTTGTACTCAGAAACTGATCCATTGCTACCTATCGGGACTATTTATAGTAGAAATCATGGGAGCCTTGATTAAATGGGAAACCACTGAATGTAGTGGATCAAAGTGAGACAGCAGAAGAACATCTGCAAGTACGAGTCCTCAAAAGGCCATCACTGTGGAAAATATATATATATATATATATAACAACAACAAAAAACTAAGAGCAGAAAATAGAAAATAATTGCAGAATAACCTTCGGCCATGTTTCCCCGCGGACCCTCTGCGCCCAAGTTGCAATAGAGAAGCTTCCTCTGCGAAAACGGGCTGCGGTAGTCACCATTAATCCGACATCCTCGATCCCATCGGTCACCAGTTTAGCTCGCATGGTACGGCGTGCTTTCTGCCTTTTGATATTTTTGTCATGTCTTTCTCTCTTCCCTTCAATCCCTTCCT